ATTATGTGAACAGAAAATACACATTTCAGAACAATTTAATTTTGTCCTTGAAACATTTTATTGAAATACTGTAGAATTCCATTCATTCCTATGGAGGACTGCACCTTCTGAGGAGTACCAAATTGGTACACCTCAGAAGGAGCAGTCATTCATAGCGGATGCTATGTATTGGCCAATTAGAGGCTTTGAAACCACCAGCTGCCATATAGAGCCCCACAGTGCAAGTGTCATAATACCCAGAAAACCTAGTGGTCAAACAGGTAAATGGTTCCAATCGTTTTTCCACCATACATTTTTCCCATAGGGGATTTTAGAAATACTTAAAATAAGGGCTGTGTTTCGTGTAGGCTTACCCTGGCGTGAAGTTTTGATGACCATGTAAATCTTTCTTGGACAAGGTGACTTATCAATAAATTCATCTCTATTTACTCTCAGATTCAAAAATGCTAATTAGCATCAAAGTAGACATCATGTAAAACTACAAATCCCTGCAAGATCCTGCACGTCATCTCTAGCAGATACCTTTGCTAAACAGGTAGTGTCAATTTAAAGAAATGAAGCTTATTTATTAATTACTACATTTAGCTAACAGTTACCTTTCCTTCGATTCAGCAGTCTCGTCCAGATCATCATGGAATTTGTAGTTCTTTATGATAGCCACATTAGCAGCTAGTTAGCGTTTAATTTTGGGGGGTAAATACAGGTGAATATATTGATAAAAGTCACGTTGTCCTAGAGAGATTTACACTTATCAAAACGTCTCGTCAGGGTAAGCCTACACAAAACACAGCCCTTATTTTAAGTGTTTCTAAAATCCCCTACGGGAAAAATGAATGGTGAAAAAACGATTGGAACCATTTCCCTGTTTGACCTCTAGGTTTTATGGGTATTATGACTCATACTATGGTACTCTATAGCAGGGTTTCCCAAAGTCCGTCCTGGGGCTCTCCCTGGGTGCACGTTTTGGTTTTTTCTTGAGTAAGGGCGGCAGGTAGCTTAGTGGTTAAGAGCGTTGTGCCAGTAACCGAAAGGTCGCTGGTTCTAATCCCCGAGCCGACTAGGTGAAAAATCTGTCGATGTGCCCTTGAGCAAGGCACTTAACCCTAATTGCTCCTGTAAGTCGCTCTGGATAAGAGCGTCTGCTAAATGACCAATTATCTATTTATTTATTTATTTGAGTACTACACAGCTGATTCAAATAACCAACTCATCATCAAGCTTTGGTTATTTTAAATTGGCTGTGTAGTGCTAGGGCAAAAACCAAAACGTGCACCCAGGGGGGCCAAAACAGACTTTGGGAAACCCTGCTCTATAGAATAGGTGGCTTCAAAGCCTCTAATTGGCCAATACACAGCATCAACAATCCAGGGTTTATATACACATAATTGGTACTGCCTCTATATGGGGAAGCATTGGGAGTTAACCTAAGTAGTTCTAAAATCAGTCACATCACTCATTTGATGTGAGGACTTGCAAGGACTCCAATGCATAGTAAAGTCTTAAGTCTGTCACATAAAACTTTTACCAACTGAAATAAAGGCCTTAGGCTGCTTTTACACAGGCAGCCGATTCTGAACTTTTTCCATTTATTGGACTTTTGACGAATCAGATCTGGACAATAATTGGGCAAAAGATCAGAATTGGGCTGCCTGTGTAAAACTGAGCCGTAGTCACGGCAACATAGAAGTAATGATCACCACCATCTGTCTAAGAAGTGTATGTGTTCTATTATGCACGTTTAGGCCCCAGCCGCTCCAAAAGGTGTTTATTCACAATAAAAAAAAGGTAAACACCATTTTCGCAATCTTCAAGTTTTTATTTGTTGTAGGTTTACAAAGTTAAGATTGCATTATGATATATTCCTTCCTTTTGTTATGAGTAGAAAACCTTTTTAAAGAATTAGTCGAAAGGCACATTTTTTTTTACAATATATACATTTCGATCTAAATTATAAATATATAGAAAAACAAAAGCACAACCCAGAATAAAAGTGCTGAACACAGTTTTTACAGAAAAAATAGCCTTTGTTTAAAAATACATACAATCAGTAGCATGTTTTTTGTTTCGTTTCTGTTAGCAATAAATTATTTGAATGTGATACTTAAAAAAAAAACTTTTTTTACTTTTTTTTTTTTTTAAGGTGAAGAAACAAGGAGAATGGTTACAGTATACAAAAATGCAATCCATCAAAAGGTCAGGAACACAACAAGCTTGCAACTCTCAATGTTAACAGACAACAGTAACTTGATTATGCCATTCTTAGTGCAAATTTAGAAAAATGAAAAAGACCTAGCTAAAAGACAAATTGCAGTTAATTTTTTCAAACCATGTTTGTCCGTTTTCCCAGATTTATAATGCATATTATTTCTTCATGTGAGCGTTATACCACACAGTCCATTGGCCATAGGTGAAGCATGGGACACAAACTGTTAGATTGTGAAAATGTTTGGATTTATTGGAATGTGCCTGATGAGGAAATATATTTGGGACAATCAAGCAGAAGAGAGACGGCTATGAGATGGGTAACTACAAGCTCTTACGAGAACACGGGCCTGAGCTATTGGATGTCTGGGGTATGTTTGAATCTGTCAGAAAGTGGGTAAAGGAGAAAGATCTGCACAGTAATTGCACATACAAGTATATCCAAGTGCAAATCTGCTCAAAATCTTTGTCAGCAATAAAATTTATTTTTTAAAAAAGAAAAAAGGGGAAAAAAACATCCAGACAAAAAATAATGTTCCTTAAAAGAAACAGTTTGATCTTTGCCCTAAGATGGCATAAACACTTAAAATCACCAACAATTCACAACACTTACCGACAAACAAACCCAAATCACATTAAGTCTCAAACATAAAAAAGATACAGCAAGAGTCGCAGCACAGAATTAAGAAATAAAATAGCACTAAAATGTGTATTGGTTAGTTTCACCACTGTTGTTAGGGAAAACAATAACATTTCTCATAACTCCCCACCAAATCTTAAGATTTCTTCCTGAGATTTATATAATAGGTCAGATATAGCCAGTAACTACAGGGGGGTGGAATACTTTGGTATCTCTTTGCATTCTAAAGTCCTGGCAGAAGCTGTAAAAGTTGGAACGATTCTACTTAAGTCACAAGCAGAATCAGATAAAATAACTGAAAAGAAACAAACCAACAACCCTGTACAGCAGTACAGCACAGTGCAATATTATTTGGTGGCAGGTTATAAACTAATTGTTTTGTTTTTATAGTAATCTTAAACTAGAAACGTCCCTGACCTAAAGTATCATCAGGATAACAATCTAAAAACTAAATGTCCCTTAAATATAAATAACAATTATAATGATCATAATAACAAGGATGACAAAAACATCAAGAGCACATTGCTTTTATCCCATCACAATGTTTATACAAAGTTCATAAGTATTTCAGCTGTCTTGAACTACAGACTACGAGTAGAACAGAAATAAAGAGGAATACAATTCTTACCATGCACAGGTGAATCTATAACCTTCGGCTGTGGAGCATAAACAGTACTTAGACTTCTAAAACATCTGCTATTCAAAATGTGTTGTTTATTGCTTTTGATTGGTTGAACTTACCCAGGCTTTTCATGAACCAATTACAGTGCATTCATTTCACAAAGACAGCCAGATCGCACATATTTTGAAATGTAATATATACGATATACATATAATATGGGCTAAAACAAATATTCATATCAATATTGGTCAGAAAGTTGAACAAAACAAAATAACAAATGCACTCGAGACTTTCCTGAGAACTTCAAATCAAAAGCAAACCAGGGGTCACATCGTTGGATGAATGTGTAGACTTAAAGTAGGATATTTGACACCATTTTAAAACCATCCACCCAATTGCATTAAACGAGCAGTGTCTATCCCATCTAACCCCTGTTCTTTGTCTATCACAAGGCCTGGGAAAGCAGGGTTCCACATAGAACAGTCTGCCGTTGGGCTGAAGAGACCGTTATAGTGTAGGGTCCACAGACAGACATACACATACTGGGTTGTGGCGTGGGGGCTAGCCCTGGCACCTGCCACCAGCATAGACCCAACAGTGGGGTAAGGGGGGGGGAGTAAGTTAAATACAAATATAATAAATTAAGATGCCAATGCTTCGAGTATAAATCTATACATTAGGCCTATATGGGTTTTGAAGACTGCATTTAAGTAGGTTTCCAAAGGCACTGTTACAATGGCAGACTGTTTTCTTTTCCCCCTCCCTTCTTTTTTCAAACGAGACACAGGAGCGAGTGATGATAGAAACCGCAGGGAAAGGGGGACACGAGGGAGAGGACGGGGCTAAAACTAAAACATTTCACCCCTACGAACCAATCTGCCCTGTGTTGATTTTTCCAGTTTGATGTTTTTGAGTGGAGCCCTTGGTTTGAACAAACCAAGCTTTGCAAGATAGCCCAATTCCAGTCGATGCAATGGCGATGAGGCAACACAGAAAAACAAACGCGCAACAGATGTGCATGAAAGGCAGTTGGAAGCCAGCCAATTATTACCAATGATACCCAACATAACCAGTAGGGGAAGCTGTGGTTATAGAAAAATATGTTTCTACATTGTGATTTCCTCAACAAACCAACACAATTCCAATCGTGGTTGGATCGTTTAAAAAGCACATGCGCTTTTGATATTCTTAAAAACAAAATCAAACCCAGGTGGAATTGTGTTTCTTCATGGAGTCAAGCCTTGGAGTAGAAACGGTGGTTTTGAGCCCCCCGCTCTCTCTCTCTCTCTCTCTCTCAATGAAGGGACCCGGCCAATTCCACCCGGGTCCTTCGTTCACCATTTCTGAACGAGACCAAACCATTTGGTCTAGTGAACGTGCCCCTGGCCTGTGGATCCAGAGCCTGGAGACGGATGGGGAGGAGAAGAGCACAAGACAGGCAGTGATGTGACTAGGCCCTGAGGAGAGTGGGGAGGAGGGGTCTGTGTCCTCGGCAGCTAGAGGACACACAGACAGACAGCCACACTGAAAAGGTTGTTACGCAGAGTCCCATTCGTTCGGCTGGTACTGGATAACCGTCTGGCGGTCCGCACTGGTCCGCATCATGTTGTCCAGGACCTCGCGCGCGTTGATGAGTGTGTCCGTGCTGCAGTGGCTGTTGGCTAGAGGGAGGGGCTGCTGTTCTGAGGGGGCCAGGGCCGAAGAGAAGAGAGAGGAGGGGGTGGAGGGGGACGAGAGGTGGCCGGACATGACGTGAGCCACTGTGTTGGAGGAAGAGGAGGAGGTAGAAGAGGAGGAGGGGTTAGTAGCTGTCTGGCTGGAGAGAGAGTAAGGCAGAGAGTCTGGATGGTCCATCAGGTTAAGGATATAGTAGTCCTGGTGGGCGCTGTTGATTAAAGGCCGATCTGACCACTGCTGTAGCTGTGGTTGTATCTGCTGTGGCGACTGTAGCTGCCGCTGTTTGATCAGCGGTGGCTGTAGAGGTTGCTGCAGAATGTGTGCAGTGTTCTGGGCGGTGAGTGCGCTCCGCGATATCAGAGACTCCAGGCCAAAGGCCTCTCCGAAGCTCCCCATGGAGCCCCCCGTTAGGCTGACCAGGCCCAGGCCTCCCTCTGTGCTGTCTGGGGAGGGAGAGGAGCTCACCGTCAGGTCCAGGACCTCCTCCCCGACCCGGGAGGGCTTGGTGGTGGAGGTCTGCATTGGGGGCAGGGAGGGGAAGTGGTGGGGGAAGTGGGAGAAGAGGCTGGACATGCTGGGGAGCAGGTTGACCAGGCTGGGCTGGGGTTTGAGCTGTGGAGGTTTGGGCTGTAGTAGAGGCTTGACCGGTAAAGACTGAGACAGGCTCTGGGGCTGGCTGTGGAGCTTGGCCAGCAGGTGTTTGTCCTGAAGCTGCTGTTTGAGCTGCCGCTCCTGGGCTAGCCTCTGCTCCTGGGCATGCTGCTCCCTCTCCTTGCGCCTCCTCTTTACCTCCTCGTCCATTTTGAGAAGCTCCACCCGCACACGGGCCACGCAGTTCTCTGGGATCTTGATACCTAGGAGAGAAAGAGAGGGTATTAGGTTTACATTCGTTTATACAAGTCGATCATTTGGCTCAGTCGGTTGCAGCATAGCCACTGAAAAACGTATTTGCCAAGACATTCAGTGATGGGGTGTGTGTGTGTGTGTGAATTGTATGGAGTTGTTGAGTACTCACCAACTTGTTTGTTACTATTTTTGGTTTTGAGGCGTACGATCTGCAGGATGCTGGAGCTGGTGATGTCAGAGACCACGTCAGCCACGCGCTTCCAGACGCGCAGCAGCGCCCCGCACAGCATGTGGTACTGGCGCAGACGCATGCCCTGCAGACACTCCTGACCCTCCTCGATCTTCTTACACTTCCCGTTCCAGTTAGCATGGCTACATTTCCCAAAGGAGAAGTTGAACTGGCTCTCCCAGCTGTCCTTGGCTTGGTCTGGGGTCACCTAAGAGGGGAACACAACATACAACATTCTTATGTTAAAGAGTCTGAGTTTAACACCCGTTTGTATGTATATTGGACCTTACATTACAGGATAGAAACAGGGCTGTATTTCCTGTTTCACTACTCTGTTTATTCCACTAGAGGGCAGCATACACCACAGAAAACCACAACAGAGACATTTCCTGCAAAAACGAAGACAAATCTCTTTGCCATGTTCTGGGTGGAAACGTTTTATTGCGTGCATGTCAGTGGACCCTAATAGCTGTTCCTTCAGCCAAACAACGGACTTGGGTGTGTCCCTGTGTGGGTGTGTCCCCGTGTGGGTGTGTCAGACTGAGCCCTAACCTTGCGGTAGCGTAGCTGCAGGTTGTCCAGGCTCTCGGGGTGGGCCTGCTTGCCGATGTTGGGCTTGTAGACGATGAAGTTCCTCCCTCGGCCCTGCTCCGCCAGCAGCACACATGGGTGGTTCCCCCGCAACTGAGGAACACATAGGAGATGGAAATGACTTTCAAGTTCTGTAAAATACTTTGCGTTTTCCTCTGGGCACTATTGAACTCTCATCTGTACAATTGTTTTAAACCACCAATAAATCAAATCAAGAAAGAAGCGGAAGATTTATACTGCGTTTAACTGGGACACTGGGGCAGTGTTGAAGTGTTTGTCTTGAGGGTAATTGAAGACTGAATAGTCATTTCATTGTTGAATTGCAGTATGAACCAAGTGAATGTAACTACAGTATAATTAAGAAAACCCAACATCAGGAAGGAAGAGAGTGTATATTGTTCACTCTTGCCACTACAATTAATACTGAATAAAATGCTCCTTCTTTAGGTTCACAACACGCACACTTTCATTCTACTCCCTTGATGTGGGATGAAAGAACTCCACTCCAGAGAACAGAGAATTTAACAGAGGCAACTGGACCCATCTGAACTGTCATTCACCTCTGGGAAACTGTTCTAGCACTGCTTGAGCCCTAAGGAGGTACAGGTACTCACAGCATTACAGGCTTCCTGGTAGTGCGTCAGTGTGCGTGCTGGGACATGCAGAGCATCGCTCTCTGCTCTATGGTAGCCAGCTAGACTCACCTTGTGGGAGAGGTAGAAGCCCTCGTCAGGACTGTTGAGGTTCTGGGCCTTCTCGTAGGCCTCCTCCCAGGGCATCCCTCTATCCACGCTGATCTATAGGGGTTGACAGGCAGAGGGCAAAAGTAAAGGTTAGAGTATCTGCCTTATGGGAGAGCAATACGCAGCGAGTACCCACTGTGGGCCTGATTCAATTAACTAACACACCCGAAAATCTGTGCACCCCCCATTGCACGCACACGCACAGCTCTCGGTCCTGGTTGTGTTGGTTTGAAACGTCAACTCTAGCTTAGCCTGCAGCGAAGGCAAGGTAGGGAGCCAGAGACACTAGTAATCATATTTTTGCCTCTTTGGTTGTGTATGTGGGAAACACTGCTCTCTTGTTGTGTCGCGTCAATGGTGGGAAGTGTTTTGTTTTTATTACTAGGTTTAGTCTCTTGAGATTTTATGTCTACTTTTCAGGCCAGAGTAGAGGCCCAAACAGCAGCACTGATTTAGTTACAAAACAAAGATCAGCATGCAAATCTATGTACATTTGGTATGAGGCGCCACTGCAAAATATAGATAGATTATATTGTACATGAATAATGTACCAGTGTACCATGGGAGTGATGCCTACCTTGTAGAGCACAACCTGTCCGTCCTGGGGATTACCCACTGTCATGAAGGTCTCCTGCTTTTCCTCATAGATTTCATCGTTACCTGGGGCCAGATCTGAAAGACAGGACGGGACACAGTGTTCCAGTCAGGAGACATATCTATTATCTCTATACAGAGCCTCACTACCGTTACAAACTATCAGCCTCATGCTGCTGTTCATGGAAAGACATTCTAGGAAGGACCAAATGCAGCATGGTGGATTTGTTTGAATGGTATGCGGAATGCTATTCATATGCAATAGGTGAGTCGCTCTGGATAAGAGCGTCTGCTAAATGACGTAAATGTGCCCTTGAGCAAGGCACTTAACCCTAATTGCTCCTGTAAGTCGCTCTGGATAAGAGCGTCTGCTAAATGACTAAAATGTAAATGTGATGCAATACTGTGCAGCATATGGTGCTAAATGTGTAGAGTTTTCCTTTACCATACAACCTATGGGAAAGTGCACCCTTTTATTGACTCGTGTGTAAGCTCTACCACCTCATGCTAAGAGACTCCATACTGTAATGCAGAAATGCTGGCTAGTGTGAGTGTTGGAACTCCATACCTAAGATGCCCATGTCGTATTTGCCCTCCTTCTTGTCCTTCTCGATCAGGTAGTCAAAGTTGTCAGTGAAGTACTGGAACAGAGAGTTCTGCTTGTGGACCTCCAGGCCCAGGATCCTGTTGAGGAACTTGGTGATGCTGCAGTCTTTCTCAGTACTGAGACCAAAGCGAGGCTCCTTGCAGAAGATGCCCACGTCCATCATGCCATGCTTCATGTCTGAAACAGGGAATAAAGTCATTATTTCAATGTAGCTTTGGACAGGATTTGCATAATGTTAAGACACATTCCTACACGCACTCAACGTACCTCTGAAGAACAGCGCATCGCCCCCGGGGTAGCCTTTGGGAGGGGACACCTTGCTCTCGATGTGACCCAGGATGGCTTTGGTGATCTTATCCAGAGCCTTGGTACCATACTACAGAGAATAGGGATACAGGTCATTTAAGAGGTCAGGTCACTGTTCCTCCCCCCAGAATCTCCAACACAACGAATCACAGGTAATGCCAATTGGGCTTCTGTACAAGCAGAAGTGTTCTCTCTGTTGGAGTAATTCAAGCCAGTGCATACCTTGTTTTCAAAGTTGTATTTGCTCAGGTCTCTGGACTCTGTGGCTCTCCTGTCACCGTGGGTCAATGCACCCTGGACATAGAAACAAAGGAACACATTGTTAGCACTAAAGCCTTATATCACATACTGAAAGAACACCAGCTACAAACACACAACTTTCTCAACTGCAGCAGACCCCTAAAGCATAGAGGCAGTGAATTGACACCACTGCCAAAACATGTCAAATGTTGTGCACAGATTGTGACTGAAGGTCCACTTGAAGCCAGCTGCTCTTTTAGCTGGTGCCCACAAAGGAATGTTCTGAGATGAAAACAAATGGATGTTTCTGCCAGATATGAGATCACTGCTCATCTGGAGGCAGCCAAGTATTCAGCAGCTAGGAGGGAGGGGAAGAAGAGAGCCTGGGTCCTGGCATGACATTACCCATTCTGAGGCTGGCAGAGGCACCACACACTTTCTGGAACTCCCCCCTCTCCTCCCATCAGAGAGAAAAGGCAAATAAATGACTGAAGTAAAGACATTACAATATGGAAAACTGTCTCATAGCAATCTCATATAACTACCCAGACCTGGGTGTGTTCCAAAGTCTGAAAATAACTGTATTATTCAGACCAAAGGAGGACCGGAGGCATTTCCTGGGTTTGAAATGTTGTGTGAAAGGTGTTTATGTGATCTCCGGTGACTTTGAGAGTGTCTGGTTAATAGGACAGCGCAGGGCCAAGACAGGGTGAGGGCTGGGATAGTGGGGGGAGAAAATCGGGAGTCCTAGCACTGTGACTACGGGGAGATATACTTGTAAAAGGGTGGCCCCTGTCCTAAGTTATTAGCTCAGCATACCAATCTTCACTCCAATAAAACACATGGACTTATGGGATGTGTAGTAGATGAGGCTAGAGCTGCACCTACCAGGCTCTCCAGTCTCTTGGCCACGATGGAGGCAAAGCGTCTCTCCCCGGCCAGCTCAGAGATGAGGAAGATGTACTCTGGAGCCGTCACCTGGTTGGAGCGATGGGTACGACCTGGTGAATCACACACAGAGGAGGAAGACCAGTCAGAACAGACGAGACTCTGAGATGGAACCAATAGTGTACTGTACAACAGTGAAACTCTGGAAAAAGAGGATATTGGTTTGTGGGGTAGGTTGATTTCAATGATGTATAAACAAAGGATGATGTCAGTAAATCTGGATTTCCTGGTAAATCTGGATTTCCTGGTAAATATGTCTCTGAATGGGGAAGTGTCTTACCAACTGCCACCCACCACATATTTTCTATGGAACATATCTTTCCTGGAACACCTAGGTCACCTTTGTTTGTGTGTGTGTGTATTGTTGTTAGTGTAAACAGTGTCTGTCAATCAGGCCCACACATGCCAACCCACGCATCGAGTTCAGCTCCCCAAGGGAGCACGGCTGGCGGGAAGTCAGTTAGCGAATTACTGCTAACAATTCATTCACGGACCGCAATGTGTGTGTCTGCACAGGCCTGCCTTTCCACAGTTGGGTGCAAAATTACTGTATATCTAGCAGACAGCACCGGATATTACGGCTAATTATGTTATTCTGATTTAGTCTAACACCTCTCTCCCTGAAGCCAGACAAAACTGCACCACCTCCAAATTAAGTTTCACAGCAACACAGCATTAATAAAAGCGACTCATTCCAATGATTAGAATGTCTCGCCTCCTTAGGTCCAAAAAGACAAAACATATTTTAATTTGATATACATCAAGTGATCAAATCTGTCTTTAGGCAAGGTAATTTGAAGAGGCAGCAGATACTAATGAAATTACATTTAATCAGGCTAGAGTGCAACACTTCTAGCAAGGTGGATTGTGTGAAGAGAGATGTCTGAGTGACAGTGTGTGTAACCTGCATTGAGGAGAGTCTAACCCTTACCCTAACCATGAACACGACCTCTAAACCTAACTGACCCCTGACCTTTAACCCCTGGTCCTCTCCAGACTCACCAAACTGCTGGATGGCTCTGTCTGCGCTCCAGGGCAGCTCCAGTGTCATGTGGACCCTCCGACACTGGTTCTTCACCCGCTTGTCTGCCTGCAGGGAGATGCCCGAGCTGGCCGCCTCCGAGATGATGGCCACCAGCTGGGGAGATGAGGAGGAGGGAGGGGTGGAGAGGGGGAAGGATGTTAACGGATAGAACAAACAACTGTAACACCAAGACAGACCATAGAATAATGCCTTTGTATGCTGTCATTACATATCACAGGATCATGATTTTCTAAGCAAGAACAAACACATTTTGTGAGTGAGACCCTTCGACTCACAGCCAAGTGTGATACATGTTGAATGGTTCTAGAGAGGTTGCCTGGTGTTCAAATAGCGGTCCAGTCCAGTGTCTCACCTTCTCTCCGCACATGAAACGGTCCTTCTCCTTGAGGTTGATGTGGTCGATGGTATGGCTCTGCTCCGCACGCGACTCGTAACGCACGCTCCCGTCAGGACGTCGCACCACACGGCCCTTACGACCCGTCATCTACAAGAGAGGTTAGAGGGCGTCAATGGAGAACTACAGCCCAGTTTGTATCTAGTATTCATCTCACCCTTTTTCTGATGTAGCCTTCCATGTACTTAATTGAAATGTCTCTCTTTCAGAGTACTCTTTTTCTATCAGGTTGAATGGACACTTCCCTGCAACATAGGGGTACGTACCTCCGAGACCATCTCCGGACCTCCAAACTTGTCGATGAGTTCGTCCAGAGTGTTCAGAGGTAGTTCCTTCCCCAGGTCAGCGATCTTGTTCAGGAGGCCCTGCTTCATCTCCTCTATCCTGGCTGTAGAGAATCCAACCAACCCCAGACAGACAGAGACATGTTAACGACTGTAACCAGAGTCAGACACAGTCATAAAACCGCCAAAGAGAGACCACAGTAAGATGCCCCCCAAATGTCTGCTAAGTGCTTTTACTGTTGACGAAGATGACGTCGTCGTCGTTGTTGTTGTCCAGCAGGGAGTCGGGCGAGGAGTTGGAGTCGGTGTCCATGCCGTCCGTGTCCGTGCTGCTGTCGTCACTGATGTTGATTACACCCCCCGGATCCACCATGGTGTGCTTTGGGAACTTGGGCTGCCGGCCCCTGGGCTTACCTAGTGGACAGAACGTACACATGAGTGAATTCAGACTGTGGCTCAGTGGCTTCACCTGAATAGTACATGACATGATTTTGACCGGACGTGATGAGGCAACGTATAAAAATAGAGTTGCTATTATTATCATTATATAATAGGGGTGTAACGGTTCACCAAACCCACGGTTCGTTACGTATTGTGGTTTTGGGGTCACGGTTCGGTTTCGGTACAACAGGAAAATTAAATGCCACCCATAATGTTCAGCATTCACAATGTTGCTGGCATTGTCTGTTGTGACCGGATTGTTATGTTGGGCCTCTCAAGTTTCCACTCTGATGCTGTGAGGTGGGACCATGTGGTGAGGTGGGAATTTAACCGTTGTGAAGTTGTAAATACCAGTTGGATGCATTCATGTGATTTGAACTCGTTGAAAACCGGCGATTGGCTAATGGCCAACAAGCTGTGTCAAACATAAACTATAAAGTATAGCCATCATGCTTCTAAACAAAGTATAGAGTTAAAAAACCACATTAATAGATTGCTTTTTATAAATAATGTTTTGTTGTTGCATTTAACTGCCGAAAATGCTGTTATAGAGGCCATTTCCTTAGTAGGTGACGTTAGAGGTCACCATGTGGTAGAAGTGGTTGCTCAGGATGATAGACGAGTTTCCCACTAGTAATTACCAGTTTGAGGGGCCGTTCATGTTGTAAATTCCCACTTGGTTTCAAACGCACCATGACACTGCCTCCATCAGATGCGGACTCTCATAAAGGGGGCGTGTCTGTAGCACTGTACATCTCCCGCTCCGGGGTAATGTGATGGGCTGTCACTTAAGTAAGCGCAACACCCCTGAGTGGCCAATTAATTGAAAACTTGGCCTTTGGTTTGCTTATATAGAGCAGGTACTACATGTTTGTTGAAATGGGTGCAAGAGGGAAGTTCATAACATGGCTGTAGCACTTTCACAAGGTGCTAAAACCCCCTATTCTCAACCACCGAGAATGGGCGCATATCCGCGGTGTAAAAACTATAAACATAGCCTACCTATCGCTCTTGTGATTTCTTTGGCCCAGTCAGAATTAGCTGTCAAGGGCGGCTTGAATGTAGAGGGTTGTGTTGTTGTTTCTGACATGCTGACCAGACCACCCGCCTTGCGTGCGCATACATTCAATCATTTCATCCAAACTGCTTGCGCAGGTCAACGGGCGTCTGCGTAGCCAGGCGCTAAAATAGAACTTGGTTCTATATTAGACGCTTGACGCGCTGCAAGTCCCGCCTCTCCCATCTACTCATTGGTTTTTCCGAGCAAATACCCACATGGGTGATTGAAAGATGAACGAGGTCCACACTCTAGTCTAGTTGGTGGCGGTAATGCACCTTAAAGTTGGTTGCCAATCGCCATATAAAATCCACTAACTAAAAACTAACAAGGTTTCCCCTTTTATCTATGGATACATTTTCAGAGTAGAGAACACACGATTTTGTGTGACACAAAATGGGTCAAAATTCGACAAAGATCCATAAAAAAAAAGGACCATACTGTATGCATTTCAGGTAAAATAACAACCCAATGTTTATCTCGCAGGACAAATTAGCTAGCAACAGTAAGCTAACTATGTTTTATATGTGTTTCGACCTCTCCCCAAATTAATATAGTTGGTTCACAGTTGGTTTTGGTATTTTAACCTGTATGTCATGAACACGTCTGGTGGGGATAGACTGAATGAACATGCATGCGCAGAGCCGGTTTGGTTATCATGTTAACGTATATACAGAGATGGTATACAGGGACGATGTCGATGTAAATGTGTCAACATATTTGAGGTGTTGGCAGCTGCATAGGCTATTCTCTTTCAGTGTGGCGTCATACTGTTAACGTTTTATCCACAACTGTCCATCGCAGTTGTAATCTACTGGGAAGGCAAAATGTTCCCAAACCACTCACCATCGTACAGAACTAGTTCCCGGCTGCGCCTCACAAAAGGACAGTTTGAAATGTGCCAATTAAGATTTTAACTTTGATTACAATGTGCACATAGGCTCTAGTTGTTTTAACGGAATAGCCTCAAGAGGCAGAGGCCTACAACGCAGCGTAGGCACGTCCTATAGGCCTAGTGTTTTTTTTTTATGTATTCATTTGGCTTCACATTGCAGACAGAACCGAGGTCCCCGTACCGAACGGTTTGGTTACGAATACGTGTACACCCATTATTTAAGCAAATTCTTGACCAGACACAACCCAAAATGGTAATTTAGACAAAGCACCTCACCAGGGGAGCGCAGAGCTTTTAGTATTTTAGTTGACATACGTTTTCTCTTGTTTCCAGGCGCTTTCTCTCTCCTCGGCTTTTCGGAGGGAAAGTGTTTCTGTACCAGAGCTTTGAACACCCCCCTGAGGAGAAAAACCAGACAGACAGATGGTTATCATCTTAATCTAACACTGTGGAAGGCTGACAGGATGTCAGCTCTGATTGACCTTATCATATACATTTCATGTCTTCCAGTGTCAGACGGCCCAGACAGACAGACGGTCCAGACAGACAGACACCCAGGTATGCTCCCGGTAGAACATGACTGCAGGTACAGATCTAGGATCAGCTTACCCTCCCCAAATCCTAGCCCTTAACCATTAGCTGGGAAAAGAGCATAATTGAATTTGGAACAGTGTCTAAGGGAAGATTCATCCTACACCCTCAGGTAGTGTGTTCTAAGGGAAAAAAGTGAACGGTTCAGACTAAACTTTTGACTGAAGCTGGAGAGTGACAAATGGAATGCCTTCTAACTAGGAACCGGTTTTGTACCCGGCAACAAACAAATTAGTTTTGTGTGTATTAGGTATATGTTGTGAAATTGTTAGATATTACTTGTTAGATATTACTGCACTGTCGGAGCTAGAAGCACAAGCATTTCGCTACACCCGCTATTACATCTGCTAAACACGTATGTGTGACAAATAAAATTTGATTTGATGAGTCATGTGAAAACCACAGGCACATCAGACAGGAAAGTCCCGTTTACACTAGATGAAAGCTGTGGTGTTGTGTGTGAGGGTTGAATCAGGGCTGAGCCAAAGATCAATTTGCTCCAATACTGTACTTATCCAAGGCTTCAGAGAGCCAAGGACACAAGACTTACTCTGCTGCGGATACAAATCTGTCCAGGTGTCCATCGTTCTCATCCAGGACCTCTCTGGTTCGGGCCTCTCCTGTAGACTGCAGACCAATCACAATGCACTGGGGAGGGGAGAAACAAGACACATGAGCAGAGCGTCACACTTAAACATATCAACAAGGAAAAACCAGGAAAAACATGGCTCTATTTTCTTTCCCATTCAAATGCATGGATAATTGTGATAATGCCTCTTGGCCAGAGATTCCCATCTAAATGACTATCATGGTTAAATAAAGGATGAATTAAGTGCTGGTCAGTCTCACCTTGCCAGCCTTCAGCTCCTTCTTGGCCAGCTCCACCAGGCAGCGAACCTTGGCGGCGATGCAGAGGTATTTGAAGAAGCGCTGGTGAGACGACCAGAACTGACCCCACAGGGACTTCCTGCTGACAAGACGCAGCTCATCCGCCGCACACATGAACACGGCCAGAGCCTCCGCCCACTGAGGAGGACACACACATATAAGTCACTTCACTAGCACTCACATCTTTAGACATACTGTAACAGGGCAGTAGTTACATACCGGGATATTATTTTTGACAATATATCGTATCGTTTTGACAATATTGCAATATTATTTTTGCGCTAATTGGTGATACCTGCACCAAAACACCAGTACCTTTCCTTCATAGCTTATTCTCCATCTTTTTAAATAGGGAGCCAATTTGTTTTCAGCACTTTTATTTCCATGACCGATCGTTTTCTCATGCTCTCTCGTCTCTCTGTAGCAGATATATAGATATATATAGACATATACAATACCAGTCAAAAGTTTGGACACATCTACTCATTCCAGGGCTTTTCTTTATTTTTACTATTTTCTACATTGTAGAATAATAGTGAAGACAAACTATGAAATAACACATATGGAATTATGTAGTAACCAAAAAAGTGTTAAACAAATGTTATGTTTGAGATTCTTCAAAGTAGCCACCTTTTGCCTTGATGACAGCTTTGTACACTCTTGGTATTCCCTCAACCAGCTTCATGAGGTAGTCATCTGGAATGCATTTGAATTAACAGGTGTGCCTTGTTAAAAGTTAAAATTTGTGGAATTTCTTTCCTTCTTAATACGTTTGAGCCAATCAGTTGTGTTGTGACAAGGTAGGGGGGGTATACAGAAGATAGCCCTATTTGGTAAAAGACCAAGTCCATATTATGGCAAGAACAGCTCAAATAAGCAAAGAGAAATGACAGTCCATCATTACTTTAAGACATGAAGGTCAGTCAATCCGGAACATTTCAAGAACTTTGAAAGTTTCTTCAAGTGCAGTCGCAAAAACCATCAAGTGCTATGATGAAACTGGCTCTCATGAGGACCGCCACAGGAAAGGAAGACCCAGAGTTACCTCTGCTGCACCACCGTGTCTTTGTGAGACGCAGAGTAGGTGAACGGATAATCTCTGCATGTGTGGTTCCCACAGTGAAGCATGGAGGAGGTGGTGTGATGGTGCTTTGCTGGTGACACTGTCTGTGATTTATTTAGAATTCAAGTCACACTTAACCAGAGTGATGGAGTGCTGCATCAGATGACCTGGCCTCCACAATCACCCGACCTCAACCCAATTGAGATGGTTTGGGATGAGTTGGACCGCAGAGTGAAGGAAAAGCAGCCAACAAGTGCTCAGCATATGTGGGAACTCCTTCAAGACTGTTGGAAAAGCATTCCTCATGAAGCTGGTTGAGAGAATGCCAAGAGTGTGCAAAGCTGTCATCAAGGCAAAAGGTGGCTACTTTGAAGAATCTAAAATATTAAATAAACACTTTTTTTGGTTAGTACATGATTCCATATGTGTTATTTCATAGTTTTGATGTCTTCACTATTATTCTACAATGTAGAAAACAGTAAAAATAAAGAAAAACCCTGGAATTAGTAGGTGTGTCCAAACTTTTGACTGCTACTGTATATCCACACACATATATATATAGTGATCAAAGTATCGAATCGCAATACATATAGAATCGTGAGAATCGCATTACATATCGTATTGGCAGCTACGTATCGTGATAATATCGTATCGCGAGGTCCCTGGCAATTCCCGGCCCTAACGTGCGCATGTACGCACATATGTCTTCTCAGTCTCTCACCAGTTTGGCAGATTTGTTGTAGACCAGTTTGAAGTCGTCGTCCAGGCCGATCTCCTCGATGCGGAAGGACACCCCTGAAAAGCTCAGCTGCCGGGCGATGTACATCCCGCTCACCTTCATGTCCATGGCAACAATCTCCATGGCGCCCACACCCCTGTCAACCAAAAATCCAAACCACAGACAGCCTGTCAGTTGTATTCTAAATACCAGGACTGGTCTGGTAGCCACACCATTACGAGATGTCATTCTCACAACATAGATAAATCATATACATTTAATAATTAGATACAGGTAAGATACAGTGAATGTGTGGAATGAGGCCAGACCTCTTCTCGATGGCGTGCAGGAAATCATCAAAGGTCTTGAAGGGCGTGCCGTCGCCCCAGATCCCCAGGCGGCTCATATAAATCATGTTCTTTGGCTCAGAGGCACCTGGAGGGAGACAGAGAAGCAGGGGTGAGATATTGATAGAGAGAGAGAGAGAGAGAGAGAGAGAGAGAGAGAGAGAGGAGCGAGAGGAGAGAGAGGAGAGAGAGAGCGAGAGGAGAGAGGAGAGAGAGAGAGGAGAGAAGGAGCAGAGAGAGAGGAGAGAGAGGAGAGAGAGAGAGAGAGAGAGAGAGAGAGAGAGAGAGAGAGAGAGAAAGCAGAGAGAGAGAAGAGAGAGAGAGAGAAAGCAGAGAGAGAGAGAGAGAGCGAAGCAGCGGTGAGACATTGATACAGAGAGATCGAGAGAGAGAAAGAGTAACTAAGAGACCCAGAGAAATTGAAAGAAAGACTGGAAGAGAGGGAAGACAAATACAGGCTGAATGAGATGGAGAGGGAAAACTGAGACGGAACAGGTAGACAAACAGTCCTAAAGTACAGGCATTGTGAGAAAGAGCGATAGGGAAAGAGAAGACAAACAGTCATCCAGGTACAGGAAAAGTGTGAGAAAGGCCCACCTGTGGCACTGGCGTAAACCACCCTGGCCAGGGGCAGCTTGTGCTGCAGGTCCAGCACGGCCTTGCCCATCTTGGTGGACGTGGCATTCTTGGCCTTGTGGCATTCGTCAAACACAATCTAGGAACATGGTCAAGGGCAAAACGCTGCTACAGTGTGAACCTGCCCAGTGTAAACATGCTGATTGAGCAAAACTTATGTTCTCAGATAATTGGTAGTCACTGGACTAGATGGCCATGCTAGACTGGCAATTTCATCAGGAAGTATTTGTTCTTGTTTTAGGGCTAGTTTCAGTAATAGCGGTTAGAGCATGCAGTACGTCTAGCATGGCCAGTGCATTGATTGGTCTCTACACAAAGCTCAACAATCCTACGTGTAGACAGAAACCATGACAGAGCTACGGACCCGGACGATCTACAATTAGATATTATCAGGTTAGTAGCGACCAAGGTGGTAATGTAGTGTATAAGGATACGACTCCGTCAAAGCCGGGCTTGCACCAGTCCAGGATCTGCTTGAGTCTGGTGCGGTGCTGCCCTCCTGCTTGACTCTCCCCGATCAGAGCAGAGTATGTCGCAAACAGGACTCCTTCTGAGGTAGCTGTGTCTCCATACTTTATCTACAGAAAGCGACATGAGCAGAGGTTAAACCAGACAGCATTTGTTCTTACTGAACCTCAGATGACAAAAACATACAGTAATTGTAATGGTTGTTTGCCATATTCCTTTCTCATCACCTCACCTTGTTTAAGGCATGCACAGGAATAGTGGGAGCTTCTATGTCTTTGAGATCTCTCTCTGCGTCATATTTCAGGTCATTGGACACACTGAACCTGAGGGGTGGAAGAGGAGAAATGAGTGCATCTTTACAAAATAAACATGACGCACAACTGAATAGGTTGATTTCAGAGTTGGTAGTAATCAATGGCACTGACTATCATTGATGCTTTCTAATGCAGGTCACAAAGGCCAATCTGACGCAATATCCACTACAACTAACGTTTTACAATCGAAACCACTCAATCTTAAATCTATTAGGCAGGGAGACGCCCACCTACGTAACGGTAAGATATAACTATTAGGTAGGGAGAAACAGAGTTAGACTGGGTAATGTATTGAGTGGAGTAATAGTAGGAGGAATCTAGTGTCTTACCATAGTGCTTTCTTCCTTCCTTTTAGGTAATTCTCCAGGATGATGCCAGCCACCGTACGGCCCTTCCCCACTCCGGCCCCATCTCCTATCAGGAAGCCTGCTCTCTGGTTGTTCTGAAGGATCACCTCATGTTGCTGGGAACACACATGGAGCACAGTGTTCACATGTGTACACAGACACACACTATGACTAACATATTCATGTCATATTTAAGTAATTTAGTAGACAGAGTGACTTACAATACGTGCATTCAATTAAACAGCAGCATAATATATTGAACAAATACTGAACATACAGTGCCTTGCAAAAGTATTCATCCCCCTTGGCGTTTTTCCTATTTTGTTGCATTACAACCTGTAATTTAAATGGATTTTTATTTGGATTTCATGTAATGGACATACAGAAAATAGTCCAAATTGGTGAAGTGAAATGAAAAAAAAAAACTTATTTCAAAAAATTCAAAAAAATAAATAACGGATAAGTGATGCGTGCATATGCATTCACCCCCTTTGCTATGAAGCCCCTAAATAAGATATGGTGCAACCATTTACCTTCAGAAGTCACATAATTAGTTAAATAATGTCCACCTGTGTGCAATCTAAGTGTCACATGATCTGTCACATGATCTCAGTATATATATACCTGTTCTGAAAGGCCCCAGAGTCTGCAACACCACTAAGCAAGGGGCACCACCAAGCAAGTGGCACCATGAAGACCAAGGAGCTCTCCAAACAGGTCAGGGACAAAGTTGTGGAGAAGTACAGATCAGGGTTCGGTTAAACAAAAATATTAGAAACTTTTAACATCCCACGGAGCACCATTAAATCCGTTATTAAAAAATGGAAAGAATATGGCACCACAACAAACCTGCCAAGAGAGGGCCGCCCACCAAAACTCACGGACCAGGCAAGGAGGGCATTAATCAGAGAGGCAACAAAGAGACCAAAGATAACCCTGAAGGAGCTGCAAAGCAGACTGGAGTATCTGTCCACAGGACCACTTTAAGCCATACACTCCACAGAGCTGGGCTTTACGGAACAGTGCCAGAAAAAAGCCATTGCTTAAAGAAAGAAATAAGCAAACACGTTTGGTGTTCGCCAAAAGACATGTGGGAGACTCCACAAACATATGGAAGAAGGTACTCTGGTCAGATGAGACTAAAATTGAGCTTTTTGGGCATCAAGGAAAATGCTATGTCTGGAACAAACCCAACACCTCTCATCACCCCGAGAACACCATCCCCACAGTGAAGCATGGTGGTGGCAGCATCATGCCGTGGGGATGTTTTTCATTGGCAGGGACTGGGAAACTGGTCAGAATGTAAGGAATGATGGATGGCGCTAAATACAGGGAAATTCTTGAGGGAAATCTGTTTCAGTCTTCCAGAGATTTGAGACTGGGACAGAGGTTCACCTTCCAGCAGGACAATGACCCTAAGCATACTGCTAAAGCAACACTTGAGTGGTTTAAGGGGAAACATTTAAATGTCTTGGAAAGGCCTAGTCAAAGCCCATACCTCAATCCAATTGAGAATCTGTGGTATGACTTTAAGATTGCTGTACACCAGCAGAACCCATCCAACTTGAAGGAGCTGGAGCAGTTTTGCCTTGAAGAATGGGCAAAAGCCCAGTGGCTAGATGTGCCAAGCTTATAGAGACATACCCCAAGAGACTTGCAGCTGTAATTGCTGCAAAAGAGGGGGGGGGGGGGGGGGTGAATAGTTATGCATGCTCAAGTTTTCCGTTTTTTTTGTCTTATTTCTTGTTTGTTTCACAATAAAACATATTTTGCATCTTCAAAGTGGTAGGCATGTTGTGTAAATCAAATGATACAAACCCCCCAATATCCATTTTAATTCCAGGTTGTAAGGCAACAAAATAGGAAAAATGCCAAGGGGGGTGAATACTTTCGCAAGCCACTGTAGAGATAACTCCACAGCTAAAGTAGATAACAATACAGTAGAAAGAGTTTTAAAAAACATTGTATAATATACCCTTTATTTATGGCCCACATACTGTATTTTCCAAGATAAAACTTGAACTTGTTGCTGTACACACATTATCGCTAACTAACGCTTCACATTCTAGTCATTTAGTAGACACTCTTATAAAGACCGGCATCGAATAAACCACTGCATTATTTTGAACAACTTACACAGAGAGATATCAAAAGCACAGCTGAAGAAGATAACACAGTAAATACAGTGAACATACTTGAACTTGTTCCTGCCAGACCAGATGTGTGAGGTCAGGGGTCAGAAGTGATAAAGAGGTGTGTTACCTGGCAGGCGTAGATGATGGCCTCTAGCTGCAGGGCGGAGAGCAGGCCACGTTTGATGGTGGAGTCAGCAATGGACAGAGTGTAGGTGATGTCAGGAGGAGGGACGCTGGACAGCGTGTTGGTCTCCACCACTATGTCTGGGTGGGAGATCCCTATGGTGGCTGAGGAAGGACAAAAGAGAGTGAGAGATAATTTAAAGATTGAAAAGACAGGCAAAATCTTACTAAATCCCTCACAGACTATCAGTATCAGATTGTATTATTATTTTATGTATGAGTAGCTATGTGTACTAACGTCACTGAAAAATATTACTATTGCAAAATTCAAATTCCTTCCACATAAAGAAAGACACTAAAACGGCAACCAGATAAATAGGTCAACCGGGACTACATGTTGTGTCTTGAGAGTAGAGTGTAGGGCAGCGTACATTTGGATGGTTTGTAGTCGGCGTAGGTGTCTACATGTCCCAGCTCCTCTGTCTCCTCCTCCTCCTCCTCTGCCTCCTCTTCTGCCGGGGTCTGGGTTCTCTGAGCCTGCAGAAGCAAAGGGGATATGGGTAATGTAGTTCATATCCTGTCCATATTTTTTCTCTTGTCCATCTAAACTGATATGATAAAACTGGACAAGTGAAAGCAAATGCCCCTCTTTTCAGATCAGCGCAGATGAGTAAGGAGATAAGTAAAATAACCTCAACCAACTGGACAAGACAGAAACAAGATAGATATGAGGTGAAATTAAAAGGTCTAAATCATAGTGGATGGTTACAGGTCAAAGGGTTGACAGAGAGATAATTAGCTGACCTGCAATTACTTGTCCTGATGCTCATTAATAAGGTAAATAAGAGCCTGATTGGATAGATTAGAGCATTAGACCATTAGACTTCAGTGTTTCTACGAGGGGCTCACTAAGAGTGACAGAGAAGTTACCAAAACCGACTGTTTTACTCAATATATTTACACAATATTTCAATTGGAATGTCCGCAAAAAGGCAGCAATAATTCACGTGGGTTTAAAGTTTTATGCCAAACTTATTTTGAAGTTAGTGTCGCATATTTAAAATGATGCAGTCAGTTTTGGCTCCATCTCCACATTCTTGTGCCTGTCAAATTGGGGCCCTCAGTCAATCACCTGACTAATTTAGGCCTGATTAGATTTGGAGGGTTGAGGCTACCTGGTATCCTCCCAAAGGTGGGGTGCTGATAATGGCAGAGATATCCTCCAAACTGCTCAAACCCTGAAACCTGTTGGCATTTAGCTGCAGGGAGAACAAACAAAAAACAAACACAAAACTCAAACCAAATGAAAAGATGCAAGTCACACCAGAGTCCTGTGAGTCATGAATGTCAGAACGTCTGGGAAAAACAACAAAAGAGACTGTGATTTGTCAGCTTGTCAGTGAAAGCCAGTGGCAACAAAGGGCACAGAAAGTGTGTAGAATATATAATGATAGATAATGGAGAAAATAATAACAGAATCAATAGGGAAAACACAAAGACAAACTAACAAAATGTTCCCATTTCTGAGTCATACAACTAGAACATATTTCCTAACATGCTCTCTTTCCGGAGATGGGTTGTAAACATATTTGACCCTGGATCAGTGGTTAGAGGCAACATTTCCTACTTACTTACAGTACATGACCTGTATTTGAGAATTGCTGTTGAGTGTTAAGCACACAGACATTTGGTCTTGTTTTTAGAGTGAGCATGTATGTGTGGGTATGAACATAGTGGTGTTAGTTGGCAGAGCTATTTTTATCTAGGTAGTAGTGTGTGGTGACGCATGTATGTGGTGATGCATGTCTCGTTGTTTTGTGTGAGAAAAATAAAACAGCTTATGTGTGAGAGTGTTTTCTGACGTGTTTGTGTGAGTAAGTGTGTATGAGTGAGACAGGTAGCAGGTAGCTTAGTGGTTAAGAGCATTGGGCTGGTAACCAAAAGGTTGCTGGTTCGAATCTCCGAGGCGACTAGGTGAAAAATCTGTTGATGTGCCCTTGAGCAAGGCACTTAAACCTAATTGCTCCTGTAAGACGCTCTGGATAAGAGCGTCTGCTAAATATTTTTTTTTTTTAAATTGTTTATATCTAAACATAAAAAGTAATAGAGAGTCTGTGTGTGTAGTCGGGTCCCCTCACCGCCAGCTGGCTCTGTGCTGGTGTGTTTATGTCCCATAACGTGGGCACATGGGCCAGGTTGTCTGCATGGATGAAGGCCTGGGCATCGGCGTACTCTGACAGAGAGTCGGCCGGAGAGGAGAACAGAGAGTTGTTGGAGAGGTCATCGATGCAGGACAGGTCCTGGAGACACAGAGAGGGAGACAGACAAACATGTTAGTAAGATCTCTCCTTTCTGGATCAAGTTATCCTGGCCGTGTGATGCCAGGTTAACAACCTCTCCCTCAACGTGATCAAGACAAAGGAGATGATTGTGGACTACAGGAAAAAAAAGAGGACTGAGCACGCCCCCATTCTCATCGATGGGGCTGTAGTGCAGCAGGTTGAGAGCTTCAAGTTCCTTGGTGTCCACATCACCAACAAACTATCATGGTCCAAACACACCAAGACAGTCGTGAAGAGGGCACGACAAAACCTATTCCCCCTCAGGAGACTGAAAAGATTTGGCATGTGTCCCCAGATCCTCAAAAAGTTCTACAGCTGCACCATCAAGAGCATCCTGACTGGTTTCATCACTGCCTGGTATGGCAACTGCTCGACCTCTGACTGCAAGGCACTACAGAGGGTAGTGCGTACGGCCCAGTACATCACTGGGGCCAAGCTTCCTGCCATCCAGGACCTCTATACCAGGCGGTGTCAGAGAAAGGCCCTAAAAATGGTCAAAGACTCCAGCCACCCTAGTCATAGACTGTTCTCTCTGCTATCGCACAGCAAGCGGTACCGGAGTGCCAAGTCTAGGTCCAAAAGGCTTCTTAACAGCTTCTACCCCCAAGCCATAAGACTCCTGAACAGCTAATCAAATTGCTACCCGGACTATTTGCATTGTCCCCCACCCCCTCTTTTACGCTGCTGCTTCTCTTGGTTTATTATCTATGCATAGTCACTAACTCTACCTACAAGTACATATTACCTCAATGACCTAGACTAACCTGTGCCCCCGCACATTGACTCTGTCCCGGTTCCCCCTGTATATAGCCTCGCTACTGTTATTTTACTGCTGCTCTTTAATTATTTATTACTTAACACTTATTTTTCTTAAAACGGCATTGTTGGTTAAGGGCTTGTAAGTAAGCATTTCACTGTAATACCTGTTGTATTCGGCGTATGTGACAAATACAATTTGATTTGAAGTTAGTGATAGACCCTTTCCATTTTGCAGCAAATTCAGTGGGGGTATTATAAGGAAGGACACTTCTTTATCTTTGTACTGTGGAATTCTTTCTTGGTTTATACAGTAGTACCCTTTAAAGCAATGTTATGATTAGAAAAAGAGATCTAATGCCAAAGAAAACAGTGTACAAACAAACTGCTTTGTGTATGTTTTGAATATTCATTATGCAATATATGCAAGACGATTTCATGAGAACAAATTTGACCTAAATCAGAGAGAGACGAGCCCCATGGAGGAGATTCTATGTCTGGGAGTGTGTGTGCGTGCGCGCACATTACTATCCTTGTGGCTACCGGAAATCCCCAAAAGGATGGTAAAATAATGAAATATTTGTGATTGCGTTAGGTTTCGGGGTTAGGGAAAAAAGGCTTTGAATGGAAATACATTTTAGGTCCCCACAGCACCTTTGGTAGCAATAACAGCTTCAAGTCTTCTTGTGTATGACGCTACAAGCTTGGAATATCTGTCAGGTTGGATGGGGAGCGTCACTGCACAGCTATTTTCAGGTCTCTCCAGAGATGTTCGACCGGGTTCAAGTCCAGGCTCTGGCCAGGCCACTCAAGGACATTCAGAGACTTGTCCCGAAGCCACTCCTGCGTTGTCTTGGCTGTGTGCTTAGGGTCGTTGTCCTGTTGGAAGGTGAACCTTCGCCCCAGTCTGAGGTCCAGAGCGCTCTGGAGCAGGTTTTCATCAAGGATCTCTCTGTACTTCGCTCTGTTCATCTTTCCCTCGGTCCTGACTAGTCTCCCAGTCCCTGCCGCTGAAAAACATCCCCACAGCATGATGCTGCCACCACCATGCTTCACCGTAGGGATGGTGCCAGGTTTCCTCCAGACGTGACGCTTGGCATTCAGGCCAAAGAGTTCAATTTTGGTTTCATCAGACCAGAGAATCTTGTTTCTCATGGTCTGAGAGTCTTTAGGTGCCTTTTGGCAAACTCCAAGCGGGCTGTCATGTGCCTTTTACTGAGGAGTGGCTTCCATCTGGACACTCTACCATAAAGGCCTGATTGGCAGAGTGCTGCAGTGTTCTTGGGGACCTTCAATGCTGCAGATGTTTTTGGTACCCTTCCCCAGATCTGTGCTTTGACACAATCCTGTCTCGGAGCTCTACGGACAATTCCTTCGACCTCATGGCTTGGTTTTTGCTCTGACATGCATAGACAGGTGTGTGCCTTTCCAAATCATGTCCAATCAATTGAATTTACCACAGGTGGACTCCAATCAAGTTGTAGAAACATCTCAAGGATGATCAATGGAAACAGGATGCACCTGAGCTCAATTTCGAGTCTCATAGCAAAGGGTCTGAATACTTATGTAAATAAGGTATCGGGTCATTATTTTTAATACATTTGCAAAAATGTCTAAAAAACCTGTTTTCGCTTTGTCATTATAGGGTAGTGTGTGTAGATTTATAAGTGAAAAAATTAATTTCATAAATTTTAGAATAAGGCTGTAACGTAACAAAATGTGGGAAAATGGAAGGGTTCTGAATACTTTCTGAATGCACTGTATGTAGTTCTGTCCTTGAGCTGTTCTTGTCTATTAATGTTCTGTACGCAATGTTTCATGTTTTGTGTGGACCCCAGGAAGAGTAGCTGCTGCTTTCGCAACAGCTAATGGGGATCCTAATAAAATACCAAAACATACAGCAGAGCATAACATAGCCTAATAATTAATGGAAAACAACTGCCCCTCGCCTCTGCCAGTGGGTCTGTATGTGTTTACACAAACGGGGTCAGAGGAGCAGGATGTGGTGATGTGGTTGTGTGTGTGTGGGGCTCGGAAGTGGTAAAGAGCTCCTATAGAGAGCTTTTTCAAGGGCACAACACTCAGCTAATCAGTGTTTACTGGAAGCTCTGTGATTACTCTCCTGGTTGTGTCGTGTGTGTGTGAGCTTGCGCATGTGTGTGAGCTTGTGTGTGTGTGTTATCTCTGCTAGGGCAAGATCAGACTTAAGCTCTGAAATTAGCCTCTTGAAGTTTTGTGCCCTGTGGAGAGCTAAGTGGAACGGCTGCAATTTGGTGTGTGACAGAAGAGAAAGGGGGAGAGAAGCAGAGACGATCCCTGGAAACTCTCCCACCTCCATTCCTCCACCAATCCCGCTCTCTCCTCACCCCACCATCATTCCAAGAAATATGGCTGTTCCGGCAGATGAGTGATTAGTAAACAAGGAGGAACAAAATGTAACTTGAGGCCGCTCCGAAGAGAGACACATACTACACCCCCCTTCCGCAACTGCTCAGAAGTTCCTACAGTGGGAACACAAGCTTAGTGATAAATGCCTTCCTCACACAAGGAACTCCCACATAGGCGGGCCTCATACTCTCTTACAATAAAAACTAGGCAACAAGACAATACGTAACATAACAATAACACAACCCATCCTACATTATGCTCCTAGACTTAGAGAGATTATTAGCCACATGCACAGGGTTGCAGGGGTGGGAAGTCCGGAGGTGCAGGAAGGGGATAGGGTTAGCATGTAGCTGACTAGTGATGGCTATTCAGCAGCCTGATGGTCTGGTGGTAGAAGCTATTGGTCGGTCTGGTGGTAGAAGCTATTGGTCAGTCTTTCAGTATTTGCTATGATGCGTCTATACTGCCCGTGTCTGAGTGATGGAAGCGGGGAGTACAGTCCATGGCTCGGGTGGCTGAGGTCCCTAATGACCTTGGTCTTCCTGCAACACTTGGTGTTGTAGGTGTCCTGGAGGGCAGGCAGTGTGCACCCAACTGTGCGTTCGGCTGAGTGTACCACTCTCTGTAGCGCCTTGCGGTCAGCGGTGGTGGAGTTACCGTACCAGGCTGTGATGCAACCCGACAGTATGCTCTCGATGGTGCTCCTGTAGAACACTGTGAGGGCCCTCGGGTACAGGACACATTTCTTCAGCCTCCTGAGGTTGAAAAGTCTCTGTTGTCCCTTCTTCACCATGATGTCTGTGTGGTTGACCATGTCAGCTCCTCAGAGATGTGTACGCTGAGGAACTTTACGTTTTTGACCGTCTCTCACATTTTTGGGGCTTCATATGAGAATTGCACCATAGGGATAGCCCTCTCAGAGAGCTGCCTCTTGTTGGAACATTCAAGGAGAGTAGGCAAAATTGATAAAAGGGCAGTAGCAGGAACAGCGGCATCTAGTGGGCAAAACCTGGTACTTGCACTTAATTTATGGGGAACATGCAAGTGGCTTCAAATGGCTAATTTCTCTGACCAAGGTGGGAAAAACATCACCAAATTCACTGAGAATACATTACATAGTATGAATAAACAATACTCCAAGTCGCAGCTTCATACAGTTTGTCAAACATAGAGAACTGATAGTGTATACTGGCCATTATGGTGGGCGGCGGTTTACCATTTATTTGGATTCCTCTCATCTTAATAATAGAGTTTTTTTTTGCAAATTGGAAGTTGGGTACTATATTTATTGAATATTATATGAATCCTATAAATTGAAATTGCCAATTTGGGTGCAATCAATTAGCTTCATCAAGATCAAATCACATTATACTTCAACAAAATAATCTTGCAGAAATGCTTATCTTATCGGTTTCTAACTACAGAAAAATGTCATAATCTGAGATGGTGGGTGTCGAAATCCTCTTGTGCTTTGAGGTGGAACGACCCTACTATGACATTCTGTTTATTGATTGACCAATTAATATTGTAATGTTTTCATAAACAGTCAGAGAGAGCAGAACTAATGTCATTCTCTCAACAGCTCCAGTCATCTTGTTCAGACAGGATGAACCATTTCATCTCATCCCAGGGAAGATGAGATACCAACCTTTCCCTGTCAAGCCAGGAGAATAGCTTTGATTAATAAAAACAAACAGGGGAGTCACTTGGGACCGCCAAAAAAGATGGCAGCACTTTAGAGAGCTCCTAATACCCTCATGTAAATATTGAAATTCAACGGCATACACTTTAATTTTTGTCTTAATATATTGACTTGTAGTACAGTTTAATATAAAGATCATTTACATTTTGAAACCGCTCGCTAAAGTGGCGTTATTGGAATGTCGACACACGCTAAAAACGTATTCAAGCCTAACGCTGTATTCACAGAAGGCCACATCGACTAGCAAACAAACAGCAAGTCATCCCGAATAAACACGTAAGCCCGGAGAAAATCGGTAAATCTGTAGGATCTATTTGAGCAAATGGAAAAGATGAATACGACTTTGTTGGGTGTTGCATCCGATGTCTCCACGATAAAAACAACAACTACCGAGCTAAAGGAAAATGTTGATACGACACAAAAGAGTCTGAATACTTATGTAAATTAGGTATCCGTTTTTTATTATTTTGAATACATTTACAAACATTTCTAAAAACCAGTTTTCTCTTTGTCATTATGGGGTATTGTGTTTAGATTGATGAGGGGAAAAAAGTACTTTAATCCATTTTAGAATAAGGCTGTAATGTAACAAAATGTGGAAAAGGGGAAGGGGTCTGAATACTTTCCGAATGCACTGCATGTGTCTTGGAAAGGGATTTGGCAAGACATTTCACAGATAGCACATTTCAAACTGCCTGCAAACTGAAATTTCATTTGTATGAAATGTATAACAAAAAGGGAGAATATGCACTGTTTAGGCTTAGAATCCGTTTTTATGAGGGAAGTGAGAAGACAGGCAGGGTACTAGCAAGCCAACAAAAAATGCAGAACACTTCTAACGTAATCCCAGCAATTAAGAAGGGCGATAAAATGGTGTCCTCATCCAAAGAGATTAACAGTGTGTTTCAGCGTTTTAATGAAGATTTATAAACATCCTGCTGCTCAGCGAGCCCCATAGATATGGTTACTTTGTCTGGTATAGAATTACCTAGATTATCAGATAGCCAGGTAAAGGACCTGATATCGTTGATCTCAAAAAATGATAGAGATACGACAGAACCTGGGAATTTTAGAACTATCAGCCACTTAATGTGGATTGTAATATTCTTACTAAGACCCTTGCGATGCGCTTAGCGAAGGCGCTACCTAATATCATAAATAATGACCAAGTAGGATTTATTAAAAACAGGACCTCAATTGATAATATGAGGAGGCCCTTACACCTCATGTGGTTAAATCGCTCAAATATAGTTCCTACCGCTGCTCTCTCTTTAGATGCTGAGAAGGCATTTGATAGGGCAGAGTGGGCTTTTCTCTTAAGAACCCTAGGAACATTTGGTTTTGGACCTGACTTTTGTACATGGATAAGGGTCCTTTATTCCAATCCGAAAGCAACAGTACTTACGAATGGAATTATGTATCCTTTTTTTTTTCTTTCTTGAGGCACAAGGCAGGGTTCTTCGCTTTCTCCTCTCTTATTTACCATAGTTTTAGAGCCTCTTGCGACAGTGATAAGAGCAGATCCAGTAATTAAGGGTGTCCATGTAGGAGGAAAAGAACACAAGCTGCTTATGTATGCAGATTATATTCTACTGCTGGTCTCTGATCCTCTTCAGTCTGTACCACAATTACTTACTTGTATTTGATCATATTCTAGTTTGTCAGGCTACAAAATTCATTGGAATAAGTTGGACGCAATGCCAATTAATGCCATATGTTACTCTGGAACCGTTACCCCATTTAATTTCAAATGGGTTCCTACTGGGATGAAATATTTGGGTATTAAGTTGAGTTCATTTTGGAGGAAGTGATGGGACTACATTTTTAGCCACTACTAGTCAAGATTAAGACCAATTTAGAAAAATGGGAAAATATAAAACGTTCTTTATGCGGAAAGATCAACGTGATTAAAATGGTTGTGGTCCCACAATTTAATGATATCTCTGCAATGTTACTTATGAATATTCCAGACCGGTATTTTAAACAATATGACAAAATAACAAAATACTTTCTGTGGGATAGGAAAACACCCAGGATTAATATGAAGATGTGCTCACCAAGGGATGTAGGAGGCTTGGCTTTACCAGATGTTGGCGAAGCACTGGGGTAAAGGGGATGCTGGCTTGGACTGGATACTAATAGAATGGGAACTAAGTTAACCTTTCACCCCTGTTGATATCCTGTCACAGTCTTACAGGGGAGAGGTCTTTTGAAACTTCCAACCCAATTGTGTTACACTCAAAAGAGGTGTGGAGAACAGTACACAAGATATGTGGAATTTCACATCTAAAACAAGGATACTCATCATTGTGGCACAATCCTAGGCTATGGACAGGAAAGAAGTCTGTACTGGAAACAATGGCTAATGTAAGGAATTCATACTATAGGTGATCTGTACAATGAAGATGTTTTAATGTCATACTCAGATTTGGTACAAAAATATGATGTGGGAGACGAGAAATTTCTGCAAATATTTACAATTGAGGGAATGTTTGTTAACCAGTTATCAACAAAATCCAGGAAAGAACCCAATAGCGGAGTATTTGGAATTACCCAAACATAAAGCAGCCATTCTTTACTCAATATTTAGTTATCTGCAGAGTGGACTGTAATACTGTAAAAACCTCAGAACAATATGGCAAACTGACCTTGTGTGAAATTGAGGATGACACCTGGTTGAAGCTCTTGTCCAACTCAGGGAGAAACATACAACTCAGGGAGGAACATAAGGGAAGCCAGGAGGAAACTTACTCAATATAAGATATTACATAGGTTTTATTGGACCCCAACAAGGCTTCATAAGATGGGGCTGAACAACAATTCTCTGTGTTGGAAATGCCAGAAAGACACTGGGACATTTTTACAAGCAATATGGGAATGCACATTAGAGCTACCTTTCTGGAAGGATATTTTGAAATATCTGTAGGAATGGTTGGGGTTAACAATTCCAGTTTCACAGAGAATATGTCTCCTGGGCAATAGAACAGTAACCTAATATAACAAATGAGGAATTTGCACTGATCACTGTTGGTATCATTACAGCAGCTAGAATAATCCTTAGAATTTGGAAGGGTCATGCCACTCCTACTCTGAAACAGAGGATAGCATCAATGTTGGAGGTAGCATCTTATGAACAAATGCTTGCTAGGATCACTGGTAGAAACGGCAATTCTAGAATCTGGACACATTTTATTTGTCATGTTGTTTGTAAGACTGGGAGGTGATGACTTATGCATGTAAACCCATTTAGTTCTGTATTGTAACTTGTGAGATACTATTTGATTGTGTATATGTGCTATGTTGGAGGATATGTCGATGTCATGTTCAATGTTCTTATGCTGTACAATGTTACATTTAAAAAATAAAAATACATGTTTTTGTTTGTTTGTGGAAAAAATGAAAAGATAAATAACTTTAATAACAAACAAAAATGAACAAACATCATGGCTGAGGTGGTTCTTCTCTAATCACCAACCAATTGTACTTCCAGCTCCACTCAGTGAGAGAGGAGAAAGGAGAACCAGAGCAGACCGGAATGTATTTTTCGTAATAAATGTGAGGCATGCGTGACTGGTAAAGCACTATTTGTTCCTTTAGCGGTGCGGCCGGTGTTGCAGCTAAGATTATGTTCTGTTAGGCAGAGATAAGGCCTGAATACCAACTGCACTGATGGCAATCTGTCCTTCCACAGGCACAACCTGCCTGCCTGCCTGGCTGGCTCCTAATCCTGCTTCCCTCTCTGCCTCACAGGACAAAACATGGAGACGGCAGAGTGGGAGAGAGTGGAAGATAAAGAAGAGAGGTAGACAGAGAGAGAATGTTTTCAGAGGGGAAATGTGGAGAAATCTGTGAATGGGCAAGAAGTGTGTGGTGTGTGTGAGAGAGAGAACTGTAGCAGACAGTGTATGGCCTTTGTGAGATAAAACGTTTTCAGAGTGATAACCAAGGACAAGTTGTGCAAGTGTGTGTTAATTTACGAAACTGCAGAGCTGCGTGTGTTGGTCAGAATTTTCCCAGTTTGTCTGTCCTGTCCTCACACAAAGCCAGTCATTCACACGTTCCTCTTCCACTTCAGTTTCTCCTGTTTTAGTGCTGAACCCAGCGTTTTCTCCTTCCCATCATCCAAACCCACACGCAGAGGAAAACCAGATTCATGCCCATATATAGGCCTTCTTTTCACAATCCTTCAGTGAAATGATACGATCTGAAACCTCTGACTACTTTCACACAAACACATTAATAAAACTGCTGCTGGCCAATTGTCTCCCCCCCCAAAAAAAGTAATATTGCAAAGTAATGCTTTTTAGCCTATTCATTGCTGGAAATACCAGTCGATGGAAATACATTTGACCGGTCATGCTTATCGGTCTATAGCTTAACTTGCATTATTTAGTGGAATTCAATTGCAGCGTGTGTATTTTCGTTAGTCGTTATGTTTATCACATGCGCAGAGCATATAGATACAGAGCCTAAGAGCGGAAAATCTGTCAGACAGCGCGAGAGCTGCTGCTACATCTTCTCTCAAACAGCTCATTCGTTGCTGTCGAGTGAAACGTGCTTTTATAAGCCCAATCATTGCTTAACAATTCTAAATGCAATCGCTTGTTAAAAAAGTGTTGCTGTCCAGAGCTAGGCCTACTATTTTTTTTCTTCTTAACTGGTAATTCACCATTCAAGTGCATATAGGCAAATGGCAGGCAGGCTTCAGCACATCACACACACCACTTTGCTGGAAGCAGTATGCATTTTGAAAACATTTACATAATTATTTGAAACCTGAACGTTTTACTTCATATTATGAGGCATGTCTTACACCTAGCTTCAAAGTAAAATCCGACCATAGAAACGTGGAGGCAATTATTTTATAGCCTATTTCTCTCATGTTCTATTGGTTTTCAAATAAAAGTTATGTCATTGTCCGGTAGCCAAAGGCACAAGCTGACCAATAGAATAGGTCAACTTTTGTACTATGGGGGATATTAGATTGACATAGGCTAGTGATTTTGCTGTTCGTTACTCATCTGGTTGGCTGAGGAAAGGTAAATGCGGTAGTTATTCTAACATCTTTAAAGTGCGCATTGGAATTCAGTAAGGACGCACGCCGTTGCATCCTCGAGTTGCATGTTCTGTTAAGACGAATAGCCATAATCTAAATTTGATTTCTGTCATTCTGAGCACCGTGGGTGGACGCCATAATCAGGTTACACACCCAATGCATATGGGTCCGGTAAATTTCTCAAATGTCTATTAAATTCAAATGCTGCCGGTCAAATGTCCGGTGACACATTTTCCTAACGGAAACCCTGACGCACGGACACACGCTCGCAAACACAAGTATATCCACAGCAGTGACAGTAAATTGTGTTTGTCTGGCTGCATTGAGTAATGAAAACATTGAGGGTGAAAAATCCATGCAATGAGCATCCCTATCAGAGAGCAAGGCAAGGGACTCACTCTTAGGGCTGTTACGGTGACCATATTACCGCCACACCGGCGGTCACGAGTCATGACGGGAGTCAAATTCCATGTGACCGTTTAGTCAGGGTAATTAGGCTTCTCCAAGCTCTGATGCTGCTGATGGTCATTAATAGCCTACCAAACTTGCTAAACTGCCTGGTACTCAGCACTCTATTGTCCCACTCTGACATCAATGCAAATCTAATCGAAAATCTAATCAAACACTTCATGACAGCCCATGAGCTCATGTTGCGCAACATTTCTATAGGCTATGCAATTGTGTGAGAAAACAGAGTGATGGCCTCTATTAAAAAGAGGAGGATCCCATCAGCTTTCTATAGGCTAGGCCTACTATATTTATTTCTCAACTTTCCTAATATTAAGCACATTGCTTCTCTTTACAACAGGAGTAGGTCCCCTGTAGATCAGTTGGTAGAGCATGGCGCTTGCAACGCCAGGGTTGTGAGTTCGTTTCCCACGGGGGGCCAGTATGAAAATGTATGCACTCACTAACTGTAAGTCGCTCTGGATAAGAGCGTCTGCTAAATGACTAAAATCTAAAATGAGTATAGCCTACCTGGCTGGCATGAAAATAAACCACGAGAAAAGTGTCCTCCATTCGCTATTTAAGTGCATAGATGACATGTATTTTTTTTCCGCTGCCCCTGTTTAGAGACAAGTGCATGATAATGGCCCATTCTAAATCAAAACAAATTTCACACATATATTATTTAGTATATGTAAAGACAAGATTAAATCAAGAATAGTGTGATGGGTGACAATATTAGCCTATCACTTGTGAATGATATATCACTTGTGAATGATCCCCAGCTTAAGGCAAGAAACAGTGCTTGCTTTTTTTCTCTCTACTAGTCACACACCTCATGTAGCCTAGCCCATAGGCCTTTATGTTTTGATAAGGTTTGTATCACAATTAAAGTGGCCAAATAACTTCTTAAAATGAAGCACATGAATCCACTTTACAACGGGTGTAGAGCCTAACTGGCATACACACGCAGTGCGTGAGTTTCAAGTTTGGGGAAGATAATTTTCACCATAGAAATGCACCTTTATAATAAAAGCATTACATGCATAATCGCATTTGTGGTCACTTTTGAGAATGGTGTTTTCCTGCAAATGGAACATTCACACCTACTGCCGTGTGCGCACTGCTGCACTTAAAATTTGAAGAAATAGCCTGTCATCTGTTGCATCAGGCTTATTGCTTAAAACAGATTTTTTGATGCCATCCCAATCTCACAACTGTCCCACACTATGTTTGGAATATTAATCTCTCGCACAGAATAGGTCAACTTTTGTACTATGGGGGATAGTAGATTGACATAGGCTAATGCTTTTGCTGTACGTTAGGCCTACTCATCTTGTTGGCTGACAAAAAGCAAATGTGGACAGTTCTTCAAATCTCTTCAATATGCGCCTCGTAATTGGATAAGGACGCACGCAGTTGCGTCCCCAATGTAGCGGTCTTCACTTGTAGCCTGTGAGAAAGAACGGATTACGTGACGGAGAGCCATGTGAGTGAAAGGTGCTTCGGCATGCAGCCGGGAGAAGGGATTTTATTTGTAAAACATTTTAGTGGGCATGACGGCCACACAAAGGGGATGCAGCTGGGAAATTTGAGGCAGTATCAAGTGCTTGTCAAATTGTAAATAAGAGATTATACAGCCTACGCAAAAAACAAAGCAGAGCTCATGCCTTTCATGCAACTTTTTTCAAATCATCATTAGAGTTGTATCATACAGCCTTAGAATGTATGAAAAATCAAAACATATAGCCCAACATTTCTATCACAACTAAAGTTACATAAATAACTCTAAATTAAGCATATAGGAGAACCTGTTTCTTGGTTAACAGGTCAACACAGAGTAGCCGCATGTGCGCACTCCCTCAAATTGTTTGGAGAAAATATCCTTTCTATTTAGCTATGTTCAATTGTCTTCTTCATACTATAAAATAATGCCATGGAATTCTAAGCAAATATTGTCTGCTAAATGAACTAGTGTAGCCCACAGCCATATGTCATAGCCAGATCAGGGCCAAACATAAGGACAACTCAGAGTATGCTATTCTGTTCTTCTGAAAAGACTACATTTTCTTCATATCATGTTTCTTTAGATATGTCTAAAATAAATTATGGATTTATTGTGATGGTGTAGGCTATTTACATGGATTTATTAGACTTTTTAAAATGTAGATGTTCCAAAGGTCTGCATCGGTGGCTTGTAGACTACGTGGAAGCCAGGAGATGCTAAATGTGTTCATGTTAATTAATGTTCATTAATTGGGCTGTGTGACTGTGTGTAACATCACTAAAACACCAATTGGGACATCCAAGGAGGAGAGAAACAGCCTGTCCAAACCAAATTGAAATAACCATGATAGTAGCTTTACACAGCAGGCCTGTGACAAGACATGAGGCTGGTCATTGTTCAGCTCTATACAGCAAATTTATATTTTCAGGAAGTCTAACACTGAGTATGAGTGTTTCTCTCTGGCTCTAAAAATTACATTGCCCATAATAGTGCTGAGCGATTAACCAACATTTTTTGTGGGGGTTTTTAAACAACTAATTGACCGACGTCGGTTCAATTACTTGAATTCCCTTTTTCTTTTTCTTTTTTTGTGAGCCCAACGTGCCGTTTCTGTAGAGAGAAATCAAATAATTCACGACAGAAATCAGAGAAATCAAGTCAAGAACTATGTGGTATGCTGGGCTGAAGGGAGTTGTAGTTTTCCTGAAACAAATATTCAACCTTGTTCAGCGCAGAAACGTGATAATTAACTACAATGACCATAATCCATTGCACCAGCCTAGAGACGGATCAGAGAGGAAGAGGCAAATCTGTCCAAAATAACAATTCATTTCTATGGGCTTATTTTGGACCTACAATTGTTGCCTGCCTTCCCACCTTTGGGACAACGACTCCCATTGTTAGGGCATAGACATGAGCATCTCGTCATTATATACAAATCTCTGGACAGATACACTTTTATTCATGTTAGGTTAGATACAAACAGACCGTATAGACTGCATGAGAGAGGATTGTACAGAACTAAGAGACAACTACGAGAGGGACAGAGACAGTTCGTGAAAGAATACCTTAGCTACTTTGAAGAACTAGTAAAATGATTTTGTCAGACAGATCTGCAGCATACTTAGGCAGGCTAGCTAAATAGGATGACTAAAGACAGTACAGTATGGAGTGGCTGGCTGACTGCTACTGCCTGAGCAGAAATACGATGATTACTTTAAGGAATGAAAAATAAGTAATATACAAAACTTGGCTCATCGCGCTCTAGCGACTCCTTGTGGGGGGCCGGGCGCCTGCAGGCTGACCTCGGTCATCGGGTGAACGGTGTTTCCTCCGACACATTGATGTGGCTGGCTTTCGGGTTAAGCGGGCGGGTGTTAACCTCTACAGGTTCGGTGTCCCGTATACGGGACGGTTGAGCTAACGTGCGCTAATGTGATTAGCATGACTGTTGTAAGTTAAAGCAAACTTTCCAGGACATAGACATGTCTTATATGGGCAGAAAGCTTAAATTCTTGTTAATCTAAATGCACTGTCCAATTTACAGTAGCTATGTTTGAGGAGAGTGTACAACAACAAAAAACGTATCACGGCAACTGGCTTGATACATTCACCTGTGAAGGTAAATAATGTACTTACATTCAGTAATCAGTAATCTGAGGGTCCCAGAGATAAAATGTAGCATAGTTTTGTTTGATAAAATACATTTTTATATTCAAATGTAGGAACTGGGTTCTACAGTTTGAACCCTTGCTGTCTCTGGCTCCACACCCACCCCGCCCGGCCATCTAGATGTGTGAAAGTTAGTGTATAAGCTAATGATCCATCATGTATGACATTCCTGGGAGTGTGTAAACTTACATTTTGTATTACCATATCATTGTTCTCTATAGTTATGTACTTGAAAATGTATCAGTTGACCAATTTGGCACATTTGGGCAGACTTGATACAAAATAGTATTGCAATGCTTCACTGGATCAATCTGAAACTTTGCACACACACTGCTGCCATCTAGTGGCCAAAACCTAAATTGTGCGTAAACTAATATTATATTGTGGCCTTTCTCTTGCATTTCAAAGATAACAAAACAAAAATAGAGAACGCATGTTTTTTTGTTTGTATTATCTTTTACCAGATCTAATGTGTTATATTCTCCTACATTAATTTCACATTTCCACAAACTTCAAAGTGTTTCCTTTCAAATGGTATCAAGAATATGCATATCCTTGCTTCAGGTCCTGAGCTACAGGCAGTTAGATTTGGGTATGTCATTTTAGGCAAAAATTGAAAAAAAGTGTCTGATCCTTAAGAGGTTATTAAGAAGCGCGGTTTGGCGGGTCATGTTTCGGAGGACGCATGACTCGACCTTCACCTCCCGAGCCCGTTGGGGAGTTGCAGTGATGAGACAAGATCGAAATTGGGGAGAAAAAGGAAGGTGAAAAAATATATACACAATAATAATAATCAAACAGAAAACGAACCGACCTCAAAAACCACTAATCGCTCAGCACTAGCTGAGGTCAGTTTGACATTTTATCCACCAATAGTAAAGGTAAGGCTTTTATTTGGTGGCGGGGGTAAGCCAATCCTAGTTCTGGGTATCAGGATAACTTCTACCTCCTCCTCCTCCTCCTATCATACAGCCAGAGGGAATAAGCAGAGACTTTCTGAAACCCTAACCACCACTCTTCCTCCTCCTCCAGAGAAGCTGATGAGGCAGCCAGGGAATCCCCCTCTACTCTGCCAGGCCAGCCTAGGAAGTGGAGAGTCACACAGTCATCCAGTACATCTCAAGACAACAAACAACCTTAACTCTCATTGTGGTGTTATGTTTGGATGTTTTTCTACCCAAAATGTGCTGTAGCTAGCATTTGTAGCAGACACAGACTAAAAATGTGAGTATTTCATTCCTTCTTCATTTATTTTTCTCTACTGCTGTGTGGTTTATTAAAAAGCCAAGGTCGAGTCATGCGTCCTCCGAAACATTACCCGACAAACCGCGCTTCTTAATAACCTCTTAAGGATCAGACACTATTTTTCCAATTTTAGCCTAAAATGACATACCCAAATCTGTAATACCAACATGTTTCAAGCAGACCACCATAGTCCATGTACCCAAGGACACTAAGATAACCTGCCTAAATGACTACCGACCCATAGCACTCACGTCTGTAGCCATGAAATGTTTTGAAAGGCTGGTCATGGCTCACATCACCACCATTATCCCAGAAACCCTAGAACCACGCCAATTTGCATACCGCCCCAACAGATCCACAGATGACGCAATCTCTATTGCACTCCACACTGCCCTTTCCCACCTGGACAAGAGGAACACCTACGTGAGAATGCTATTCATTGACTACAGTTAAGCGTTCAACACCATAGTGCCCTCAAAGCTCATCACTATGCTAACGACCCTGGGACTAAACACCTCCCTCTGCAACTGGATCCTGGACTTCCTGACAGGCCGCCCCCAGGTGGTTAGGGTAGGTAACAACACATCTGCCACGCTGATCCTCAACACGGGGGCCCCTCAGTGGTACGTGCTCAGTCCCCTCCTGTACTCCCTGTTCACCCATGACTGCATGGCCAGGCACGACTCCAACACCATCATTAGGTTTGCTAACGACACAACAGTGTTAGGCCTGATCACCGACAACGATGAGACAGCCTATAGGGAGGAGGTCAGAGACCTGGCCGTGTGGTGCCAGGATAACAACCTCTCCCTCAACGTGATCAAGACAAAGGAGATGATTGTGGACTACAGGAAAAAAAAGAGGACTGAGCACGCCCCCATTCTCATCGACGGGGCTGTAGTGGAACAGGTTGAGAGCTTCAAGTTCCTTGGTGTCCACATCACCAACAAACTATCATGGTCCAAACACACCAAGACAGTCGTTAAGAGAGCACGACAAAGCCTATTCCCCCTCAGGAGACTGAAAAGATTTGGCATGGGTCCACAGATCCTCCGAAAGTTCTACAGCTGCACCATCGAGAGCATCCTGACTGGTTGCATCACCGTCTGGTATGGCAACTGCTCTGCCTCCGACCGCAAGGCACTACAGAGGGTAGTGCGTACGGCCCAGTACATCACTGGGGCCAAGCTTCCTGCTATCCAGGACCTCTATACCAGGCAGTGTCAGAGGAAGGCCCTAAAAATTGTCAAAGACTCCAGCCACCCTAGTCATAGACTGTTCTCTCTGCTACCGCACGGCAAGCGGTACCAGAGCGCCAAGTCTAGGTCCAAAAGGCTTCTCAACAGCTTCTTATTTATGCATAGTCACTTTAACTCTACCCACATGTACATATTACCTCAATTACCTCGACTAGCCGGTGCCCCCGCACATTGACTCTGTACCGGTACCCCCCTGTATATAGCCTCCCTACTGTTATTTTATTTATTATAAAAAAACTGCATAGTTGGTTAAGGGCTTGTAAGTAAGCATTTCCCTGTAATGTCTACACCTGTTGTATTCGGCGCATGTGGCAAATACATTTTGATTTGATTTGTACGGCCTTATCGATTCATGGCCCTTTAAATCCCTTGGCGTTAGGAGCCAAGTGGTTCTGTAATGTTCCAATACTCCAGCCTGCTGACTCAAGGATAACATCAAAGCGCCTGATGCCAACATAGCTGGTTGAAATGCTCCCAATAGCAGTTGCTTGTGTGAAAACAACTTACCTTCCTCCAATCCAAACCTAGATATTTTGTGTGTATTGATATGTAGGCTGTCTGTGCCGTTTTAAAATGTATGTAGTTCTGTCCTTGAGCTGTTCTTGTCTATAAATGTTCTGTATCATGTCATGTTTCATGTTTTGTGTGGACCTCAGGAAGAGTAGCTGGTGCTTTCGCAACAGCTATTGGGGATCCTAATAAAATACCAAAATACCTAACCTTATTCCAGGGAGGGGACGCAAAACTGACCTTCGATCTGTGTCTGGGACAGGGCCAGGAGGGACGGTGGGAGGAGGAAGCCCCACCGGTCTCCAGTGTCCTGTGTGGGTCATGCTTGTGGTCCCTGTATGGAACCCTGTCCCTGCTGCAGTCACCAGAGCCTGGCGGATGGCCTGGGAGGCCACGGAGCTGTCTGGATTATGTTATCCCAGGCAGTCTACGTTACCCACATCCCTCACATACAGTACAGTGTTCTGCTCTGCCCTATAACACACAGCCCATCCCAGCCCAGCCCAAGGACAGGGACACCCACAGAGGCCTTCACATCCTGCCCAGCCACAGGAAAGAATGGAAGCTGGCCTCTGGAACGTTCCAATCTTTCCAAACTCTTCGATAATAAAAGGATGTCAGGTATATAGGTTAATGATAAAGAATAATACAGTTAGCTAGGAGGCCTGCTGAGATGGCTTTGTCTGTTTTGGGTTGGCAGAGAGAGAAGGGGAGAATCTCTCAGGCTGTGTCTTCCATTGAAAGTGGAGGTGCAGTAGGTCACACTACCAACAATCCCCTTATGTCAACAACACCACCACCATAAAATGCATTCAGTGGGGTAGAACGTTAAGATAACAGAAATGTAATGTATAGAGCTAATCTGTTCTACACACCAGAGAATCATGTCTGGTTTACACAACACATTTCTATCTGAATGTTCTGTAACGCTCAGTTCCCTTACATGGAACCCCTCTCTTCATCCCTGCAACAAGTATGAGCTCTCAGTCAACAGTCAGATTTAATAAGAAATCGGAAAAAACATCATGGTTCGGGAAATGATAACAAAGCCAGTCATGCAATAGGGAAGAGGGTTAGCCCAATAGGAGGGCAGCAGTCAGCGGCCCCGGTGATCTCTATGTCTGCATCTATGGGGCTCTGCCAAGAGGAAGTAGAAAAGGGCTTGGTGGAGAGGAGCTGGCACACACTGAGGGCATCTCTTGTTTAATGTAACTTCCTTTCCTTGTCTCTTTCAGTTAATCTGATTCTGCACTGATGAGAAAACTGGACTGGTGAAAGCAGATACCTGGCATAGGCTACTGGTAGATACTCATATCACTTTCACCCATCTTTCTTTCTTTCTTTCTTTCTTTCTTTCTTTCTTTCTTTCGATGACAGAAAGGAAGCGAGAGGAGGAAGCAACACAGAGTATTGAGATGCACGCATTGTCTCTGAAAAACAAAGAGGGTGGGATTATGAAGTTTATGGTAAACCAGGACCACATGTGACCGCGGAATAAGAACAAAAAAAAAGCAACACACACAGCTACATGGAGACACAGTCACACAAAAAAATTATGTTCAGAGGAGGTGTGGCAGTGTGTGTGTGTTTTGGGGTGGGGGGGCAGGTGTGAGTCTGCATCCATAAGGGAATTGGATTCAGCAGGGTTCTGACGTCAGATAATAACTCACTTCCCGTCAGATAATAACTCAGTTCCCAATAATTACCTGGCAATTATTGCGCAGGCTAAGATTGCAAATATGGCCACACTAAATAGGCTAAAATATATTAAATACAAAAACATTTTCAGTATTAACACAATTACAGTGACATATTTATCATTCTTAATACCAGTTCTCTTTTCTCTTTCGATTTGGAATGGAATTGGCTGAAAAAAATAAATAAATAAAAACTCTGAAATCCCAACCCACACATTCCAAAACCAGAAACCCATGAACTCAGTTAACCTTCCAGTCTTTGTCAGTAAGTTCCACCTGTGGTCAGTCAGTTGGCCGGGGTTGTCAAGTTCTAACTCCGTGACTCACTCAGGACAGGAGGACACCACTCATAGTGATCCCAGTGCCAATGAGTCTCCCTCCTCCATTCTCTCACTCCCTCTCTCCTCTGCCACTTCCAGTAAGACACATGCCTTACCGTCAACTCTGGGCCTAAAATAGTGCTGACTCTCTGGCATCTGCCATGGAACTGGCAATCCACACACACAGCCCCTCTGGACCGGAGAGGTCCGGGGAATTATTACTGGGGATATCAAAGTCTACTCTACACTCACTGGGTGGACGTCAATGAAAGAAGAGAGCATGACGCAGACCACTGCATGATGCTCGTATTCAGATAAATATAACCGTAAGAATGGGCATTACGGTCAAAACACTGAAATTGTCAATAATATCAACTTGGCACACCCTTGGAGCCATATCATGTGATCAGATGAATGACCATGAATCATATAAATTACAGATTCATTCTGACCAAAAACCTTTTAGAGAATCTATGACTGTTTCCTGTCCTCTATACTTGGACTAGAGAGAGGAGGAGAGTGCAGAAACACTTGTGCTCTATGGTGGTCATGCACAACTATCAGGTTCTAGGACTTACTGGAAAGGCTGCTGAACGGACAGCCTTTTGTCACATTTATTGTGACTGGCAGACACCAACAGGGACGAGCAGCCTAGGAAGCTCAACGTGAAACAGAACAGCATCTCCAGCTCCCACACTCCAAAACCACCAATATGCTTATATAATACCCATACAATAATCATATTTTACATATATTTATTTTATAATAGCATATGTAGTTTTCAATAAAACATCACAATAAGGTGTAGCACTTTCGATTAGCCTGTTGGGGGTTCAAGGAGAAACACAGCTCTGCTAAAACCATTGACAACTGCGTGCGTTTTTCAAGGAATTGTTAAATAAATGTTAACTATTTGCTTGTAATATTATTAGGGCTGACCCCATTTAGTCGACTGGTTATTTGTTTGGTCGATAGGCCGTTGGTCGACCAAGATTGTTTTAGTCGAGCATTGACAAATATATAAAAAAAATGTTTTATTGCACAGGAGACACCTGTCTGATTCACGCCTGTCTGAGTGGACTAATCCATTGTGGAGGCCGCGGGGATGGCACACCAGGATCATTTACCGTTAATTACCATAATTTCTAATCTACAATGTTTGTTTGGTTACGGTAATTTCTGTTAATGCATTCAATATATTATTATTACAGTCTTACCATTGTCATTGTAGGAGTGGACACGTTGTTTGCAGAGCGCACAATCTATGCTACACCGGTGAGGAAAAAGTTTAGGTTTATTTCATTCCATTTACGAGCTGTCAATTTATTCATTGTCTTTTGTTTGGAGCGCTCCTGTCAATCTTGAGTAAGGACACGCACATGATTACGCATAGAACTAGGCCTAGGCTATCTGGCCTGCACGCAAATGTAGGCTTATAAATGTGCCCATTTGAGGATCTGATACTATTTCTGATTGTCTTAACTCACCATCACTGTGGAGCTTCTCAAAGTAATTTTTTCAAAAAGCAAGTAAGCTGTCTGTTTTTACATCTATTGAGAATGATAATAGTTCCTCAACGTAGCCTATTTGAAAAAAACTTCCAGCTTGCTCCCCTTCGATAACCACTCAGCATGAAAAGGGAAAAAATATATAATGCTCTGATCCAGTGGAAATGTCATAAAAAAGGCCTACCTGATCACTTCTTATCCCTTGCGCAAATAGCATACAACTGTGTCTGTCTGCCTGGAGCTCACTGGCATGGGAAACTGAGTGCCCGTCATAGTTGATACAATGTTTCAAGTTCCTTGCAGACAGGCCATGCATAACCAATGTGATATTTATTTTTTATCAGGATATTGTCTACCTGCGGGCTGCAATGTTTTTATTTGTTGGCTTTATGTAGGCTATTTTTACATATTGGCAATGGCCCTAGAAGTTACTTGTATCATTTTCATTTAGGTAGAATTTTGATTAACCACATGACATTGATTTTGAGATATGAAGACTATTAAATGAAATGAAACTGTTCTATGGAAATGTGCATATGAAAATCATAACTGGCACGCAGATCAGTAGAAAAGGTATGATAACTTGGCACTCCAAATGGAAAAGGTTGCCGACCGCTGGTGTAGCCTATTACCGGCAACTTCAGGAGCGTAATGGCAGAATCTGCGAAGGCCAGCAGCAGCAGGAGGCGGCAGGTCGGGAACAGCTTTTCTTCCCTTCTGGTTAGGCTATATTGATCTCTGGCTCGCTCTTTAGTAATTTGTGTGTCTTTATTTTTAATTGCAGTGCTTAAAGCATCAGGCAAAGCAGCCTACATATAGTTGATTTTATTCAAACATAGGGTGTGTCTACATATGGAAAAATACACTTAAAAAAAAATTAGATCAATCCATTGGTCGAAAGAACAGACGACTCTCGGCCGACCAAGACTTATTTTTGTCGGGGACAACCCTAAATATTATCACCTCTTGAAGAGCATAGTCAGACCTACACATTTCCGATTATTCCATGCAAAACAATTGCACATATTTAGCTCCATCATCAGAGTTATACAGCAAGTAACTGCATGCTTTTCTAGATCAGTAAACATCAATTGATCATGTAATTTCCGATACGCAGGGTACACTCACGATCTCTCAATATTGGCCACCACTAATTGGATATTTGAGTGACATAAAACAAAAGTGAACTACACCTGACAAGGATGAGTGTTTTAGGTTAATTTCCCATCTTTTGTGGGCTCTGCCTTTCAAGCAGCAGAAGAGCGCATTTGCCGTGGTACTGTTAGCTGATAATGTTTACTTTGCAAGCTACCGGTAGAAACGTTGTACAGTTGGCTAAACATACAATGGTAAGTAGACCTAATGCACTATTTTCACCAACCAATGTAGGCCTACATAGCAAAGTTAGCGAACATGATCCCCTTTTCAACATTGTTTTTAAGAGTGTTTAATTATGATTGCTGCTGACAGACATTATATAGGCTACATTGATTGATGGAGCACGTCAAATTGGCTTGGTAGCTAATAACAAATCATGTCAATATGGCTAGTTAACAAGCAAACCTTCAGGGGATAAACTAGAGGACCGTATCCAAATATTGTTTGATTTATATTTATTATGGCTGCCAAGGCAGCAGCTACTCTTCCTGGGGTCCAGACACATTAAGGCACATCACAAAATAAACAAACAAAAACAAAATAAAATAAAACAGTACATCATGATTTGCTTGCCCTCTATAGTGGTGATGACAGAAGTCCAAATGACAACTTCACCAGGACGAGGACTTGCTGATGTCAAGCACTTTCCAGCCTAATCTCTGATGAAGCAAGCTAAATTATGTTGTTTTTTTAGCTAGCT